CCCTTCAATTTTTAGGGTAAGGATTTTAGAAAAAAGTATCGTCTTATAGTCGGAAAAATATGGTATGTCTTTTTCCACATTTTAGTCCAGTATGAACAATTGTAGCACAGGAATTAACACACTGAGCAGTAAAACAGGATTATTTTTGTGAGTTCTTTAGGTTTGCTTTCCCCAATCTGGTGCTGCCTGGATAGTTTGTACTATATTTCCACAAATTTCATGTCAGGTTGAATATTGTGGAAATCTGATTTAGGTGCTCCTGGACAAGTCAACATTTCTTACACAACTGATATGATTGGACTAAATCCCTAAAAATCTTACTCTTCTGGTCTGTAGTGGAAGCTAATTAAAGGTAAGGTACTACTGTACAACATACTTACTTGTATTGATAATGAGAGAAAATGTGTGAAGCATTTTAAATACACAGTGCTTTATAAACATTGAGTGTTGCTATTTGAAAAGCCTGCACTGACATTTTTGCAGGAGATGTAAGACATGCAAAGCCAGTTATTACTAAACAAGTAGCAATAAAAACTCCATATTGATACAGATATCAACACATACGTACACACACAGGAAAAAGGTTTAGAAACTTAAATGTGTCAAACACACCACTTGAATAAATATTGTTTAAAATTATATAGTTCATTTACAATCAGTAAAACAAAACTATTATTTCCCCGCCATGGAAGAGTTGATCTTTAAAGGATTTCCAGAGGGATTTCAGCTTGTTCATTACAAAGTTTGCTTTTCTGTTTGGAATGAGAATATTTGATATCCCATAATATTTTTATACTACTGTATAATTTGAAATACATTCAAATATTGTAGCAAGTAGCAACACATATACACCATTTGTATTACAATTATTGGTGCTAAGCTTAGCTTTTCATGTTGACTCCACCATGATTTTTTTTAAACAACTTGTACTAATTACCAAAAAGTGTAGAAAAGGAATGGAGGAGCCGAGTTGAATCTCTGAGAGCAGAGAAGAAAGTAATGCTCCTAAGCCTGAACCTTACAAAAATTATTCCAGATTTCTACATAGTTGGTGCAGGTGTATCTACAGATGGCAACAAAATGAAAAACATTTAGCAACCCCTTCATTTTTGGAATAAAAATTAGGGGAGCAAAGCTTTAGCTAATATGCAGAAATATCAAATGTGATTACCTAAATTGGGTAGGGGTGGTTTTTTTGTTTTTGTTTTGTTTTTACAACATGGAAAGTTCTATTTCTCCTAAAAATAAAAATATTTCTAAAAGATCTCTACAAACTCACAAATGAGGAAAAGAACCCTAAGATAAATTTAATGACTTTACGGATGGAAATTACCGGCATCCAGGACATAGTATAATCCCACTTTAAATTTTAAAAAAATTAACTCCAGACTTAATCAGCAGGTTGCAAACGCTGTGGGAACATTCTTTTACGTCAGTGTTGTCCAAACTTGGCCACTTTAAGATGAGTGGACTTCAACTCCCAGAAT